TCTTCGCTCTCCCCGCCGTAAGCAGAGGCTGTCGTGTCTCTCCCGGGTCGGGATGGGCTCAGCTGTGCTTTGTCCCTGCCCCCGGGAGCTGGTGGGAACATGAAAGCTATGTCCCATGGCGTGATGCACCCAGAGTCCTCCTGCTGCGGCTGCTCCGTGGCTGTTGAGTCAAACAAAAAAAAAAGGAAAGAGGGGAAACCCTGTCTGAATATCCCCATCTCAGACACAAGGCTTATGAGCAAATGGCATGGAAACTCTAGATTTGGCACTGAACAAATCTTTATGGCAGTGAAACCATTTTTTTTCCCTGCAAAAGGCTGTTCCGGGGGTCATTACACCATTTCAGCAAATTATCCCGTTCCCTTTCGCCGTGTGTTGCATGGATGTGATTTTTTTCCCCCATGGGGATAATTTGCTGAATGCCAGCACAGTGTGGTTAGTTTGTATTTTACCAGCCAGCTGGAGGTGGTTTGGGAAAAGCAGCAATTCCAGCGAAGTCTGCTGCCCCTTCACAGGGAACGTGTCTGCCAGGAATGCAAAAAAAAAAAACCCAGAACAAACCTTTAGGGGAAGGTTGGCTGCAATTTTTTAATGCAGCTGATGCCCTGCTGGAAATTTTTATTCTCTTCCCCAGGGCATCTTGGGTTCGGGTTTTGCTCTGAAGGTTCAAGAGCAGCATCGACAAAAACACTTTGAGAAGAGGCGAAACCCAGCAGCGGGTCTGATCCAGGTGAGGATCCCATCCAAGGAGCCTTGGGGTTACATCAGACTAATTTTTGGGGGGTTTAATAGACTTGTAGAAGTTGGGGAGGAGGCGGGCAGGTGACAAATGGGACCATGTGTATGAGGTGTGAGACAGCAGCTGGTGACTGGTTTTGTCTGGGAATAAATGCCAGGAAACCAGCCATGGGAAAGCAGCATATGTGGCAGGCAGTCTGGGGGAGAAAAGGAACGACATCCAGCGCAGCAAGACAAATGCAGTAGGACAGTCTGTTTTCACCCAATTTTTTTTTTTTTATCCCCCAAAGAGAATATTTATACTGATAGAAAGTTACAATTGGGAGTGTTTTCTTCACAATAGCAGACGTCTGCGCAGAAGGTTGACCTTGGTGTATGTGTTGGAGGTTTGAAATCAGAGTCATTTATGTTCCCCTGCTCCTCTCTCTCCAAATTTTTTACCTCCCTAATGGGCAACAAGACCCGTTTGGAACCTGACCTCACCCTGACAGCGAGCGCCTGGTACCCACAGCGTTTTCAGCTGGGCTCACATCATGGTACAGCCCCAAATTTGTCATTTATCAGACCAAGGAAAAGGCAGAGCGTCAGAACTTTCCCACAGAGAGCAGAGGGAGGACTCAGTGTTGGCTGGGGTTTGTAAAACCCCGGGTAGTGCTGGCCGTGCTGGCCATGCCTGGGTCCACAATCCCACCGTGTCTCCTCTGCAGGCGGCTTGGAGATTTTACGCCACCAACCTGTCCCGGACGGACCTGCACTCCACCTGGCAGTACTACGAACGCACCGTCACCGTCCCCATGTACAGGTACCTCCTCCTCACCCTCCCTCTTCTGCTGCTGCCTTTGTGATGCCACTGTCTCCATATTTATTTTTGTTATCTGGATATATAGTTTTGTTTATTTATTTACTTTTTTTAGGTTGAAAAAGTTGATTTCTTAAGGGCTCGTATATGCTTTTTCTTTTGGAGGTTTTTTTTTTTTACTTTTTTTGTGTGTATTTCTTTTTTTACTTGATTTTAATTTCTCTGTTATGTTTTCTTTTTTTTGTTTTCTTTTCACCTCTGTGTGCGTACGTGCTCTTCTTTTCACCTTTATTTCTCCTCGTCCGCTGGTAGTTGCATTGTGTTGTGACAGTTGCCGTGCCCGGGTGTGAAGACCTCCCTCCCGAGCTGCCCTGGATCGTAGGTAAATGCCACCACCCTCCTTGTGCCCTTGCTGGGCTCTCCTTGCCTCTCCAGCTGGTCTCTAATGGTCCTTCTGCCTTTCAGCAAACTTCTGTCCCTCGAGTGCGTTTATCCTAGGTCCCCCTTTCTTTCTTTTTTTCTTTCTCTAAGAGGAGGAAAACCAAATCAGGATTCAGTGAGCGTTTTCCCATGTCTTGGATTTAATTTATCCATCACGATCTGTTGACGCAAGTAGGGAAGGACGGCAGAGCTGTGCTGGATGATGCTGATAAAGCACCGCCGTGTTTAGCAGCATCCATCATAAAACACCGAGGTTTAGCAGCATCCATCATAAAACACAGAGCTTTTTGCAGCATCCATCTGGCTTGCTTTAAGGAGAGTCATCATCCCCAGGCAGCTCTTTCAGCTGCAATGACCCAGGTTAGAGCAGCACTGGGGGAACTCGCAGCCTCTCGGGGTTTGGAGCTTCCTGGAGATGGGGATGGAGTCCCCCTGCCATGCCTCTCTGCCCTCTGGGACGCGGGGAAGGACCGTGTCCCCTGTGTCACTCTTGGGGTTGGTGGCATCAAGGAGGAGGCATCCCCAGAAGCTAAAATGCAAAACGTTGCTGTTCAGTTTCCCCTCCGCACTACACGGCATCCCGCCAGGGCTGTGCATCCCTCGCTGGTGTGTTTTTAGGGGCTGGACAGGTCTCTCCGGGTTTGTACAGGAGTTGGATACGTTTGTTGGATATTCCTGTAACTTCATGGGGCGTGATGGGGCTCCCTGTGCCCCATCTCCCTGCTCACACACAGGGCTGTGGTCCAGCGCTGGGTTGTGCCACTGCAAGTGTGAATCCTTTTCTGTTTTCCCATGTTACTGGTGCCTTCTAGCCCTCGGGCAGACAGTCTGGATATATTTCCTAGGGTAAGAATGAACCGGTGTTTTAAACGCGGTGGCCAGCCTGTTAATCCATCTTAAAAACCTGTTGGAAGTCACATTGTTGTGGTCAGTAAGTTTTCATTGGATTCATTCCCAGTGTGTGTCTGATCGGTTGCTTTTTCCCAAGAGATTTATGAAATTTTGCTTAAAAAAACCCCAAACAAACCCAACAACCCAACAAAACAGAACAAAGCTGTTTTCCAATAGCATTAAACCCACCCATGGAAACTCCCCCTCCCAGTATCTGACCTTCTTGCCCATCATTCCTGGTGCTGGCTGAGATCAGCTACTGGAGAGGATGAGGACCGGAGCCTGGTCCAAAGTCCGCTGCAAAATGCAGAAAGTTGGGACTGGTTTCAGTGGACTTTGTCAGGTTTTACTGCTGTTTGAAAGACTGAACTTACCACGCAGCCAGACATACGGGAACACTCTTTTGCTTGAGGCCATCCTGGGGCAGTTACTTGCTACTTAATCCACTTGTTAAAACCTGTATTTCCCTTGGAGCTAATATGCAGGAAGAAAACTAAGCTGAATAAGCTAAATGAAAATTTTGGGGTGGAGAAAGGGCAGAGCCCAGCTATCCTGAATAAAAAGCCAGGATGAAGTTGTAGCAGGGTCGTAGCTGTTTTGCTGGCTGATGCTGCGGGTGCTGCTCCCAACGCCAGCCCCAAGCAGCAGCATCACCCTGGGCTTCCCTGCGCAGAGGTTTCTCTGCTCTCCCAGCCTCGCCTTTAAATCCCAGCTTCTCTCTGTGAGCAGGCAAAGTGAACATCACCTGGGAGAGGGAGCTTTGGGTGCACCCATGGATTCAGTTGTTAGTCAAATGGGGTTTCTTACCAAGAAAGCAGTGAACCTCTTTTGAATATATTTTGGATGCAGTCAGATAAATTAATTGGAAAAAATTTTTTAAAGAGGGTAACTGTATGTTCTGGCTGCAGCTTCCATCACTCACACTGTCCATCTCTCCTCGTCTACCCACTTCACTAAGCCAGCGGCAGCTCTGCGCTGGTGCAGCCTTGGGCACATCGAGCCCAGCGCCGCGGAAGGTGACGGCTGGTGACAACGCCCAGCATGGTTAGGAAGTGGGTTGGAGGAACACAATATCCCCGTCTCCCTCCTGGGTGCCTGAGGGTGATGTGCTGCCTTGGCACCCTTTCTGCTCAACATTGGGCTGCTTGTTCCTCGTAGCAGGAGCCCTGTGACTTGAGCTCGCCTCTCTTGCCAAGGCATCTCGGAAAGACTGGCTGCTTGGAATGAGAAATCGTTACACGTGCTTTGGAAGAGCTCGCGTGCCTCCAGAACATCACTCAAATCGCTGCAGTAGAGCGAGTCTCACTTGTCTGGGGAAAATGGGGTGGCCTCTGAGAGAATCTCAGATTTCATTGTTAAATTAAAAATGTTGTAGAACCAAATTGGAGAGATGCACAAGGCACCTGTATGTGCAGGGAGCGGGCTGGGAATGCACGCAGGGCTTGGTGCCTCTGGACATCGGAACCTCTTCTGCATCAGCCACTGGATTTGGTGAAAAATAATTTTCCTTGTCACTCGTGAGAACACAGCCTTGATCTCATCTACCCTCATCTACTGGTCTTCACTAAAAAAAAACCCCATCACGCCCAGGTGAGCAGCCCAGCCTGGGGAGTCGCTGGCTGATGGGACCGAGGGCTGTGGGTGTCTCACAGAAGGTCTCTCGGTGGCCCCCACATTTTCCCCACTCTGTGATGCCCCTTTGCTTTCAGAGCCAGGTGCCAGCTGCCTGTCCCCAAGGGTGACGTGGGCACACGGTGGTTTCTGAGCTGGCTGCAACGGGAACGCGCTCAGCCCACGCTCACCTGTAAGCCTGGTCACAGCGCATCTGCTCTGGGGACACACCTCGTTCATATGCTAATTTTCTTTATTCTGTTTCTTTCCCCCTTTCCTCCACCCTACCCTTCCCCCCCTGTTTTTCTCTCTCATATCCCTTTGGTTTTCTTTGGTGAAAACACTTGAAAAGCACGCAAACGCAAACGTACGGTGCCTCCAGGTATGACGTGCATGTGGCTCTGTGTGTCATGTCACCCCTTGTTCTTCGTTTGGGACTGTATTATGCAAAGCCTTTAATTAAAAGAAAGAAAAAAAAATAAAAAAGAAACCTCTGAAGATGAGTTTTTTTCAAAGGAATGAGTGAAAGCCCAAACCAGGCTCCCCACCCTGCTGCCTGCAGACTAACTCCACGCCCCTCCACGTACATTGTAGCTATTGGTACACACCAGTGTTGGGAACCGGTCTGCCAAAATGTCGATTTAAGGAAGGAGAATGGGAAAGCGCTTGATAAGCTTGCTTTTTTATGGATGATTTATTCATGGTCTTACCAACCTCCTCCAGTTCATCCAACTCTTTACGAGAAAACATCCTCGTTCATACTTCCATTGTCCCTCCGCCTTCCCTCCTGCTTCGTCTCCTCTCTCCAGCCCTCTTTTCCCATCCCTCACTGTGGCTTTTCTCTCACTCCGTGCTGTGGGAGCTGTGCCCATCAGGTAACGCCAGGTTTGCTGGATTTGCTGGTGTGGTGGCACCGTGGGGAGCATCAGCGGTAGCACAGAATAGTAGTGGCCGTGCCCGATTTTGAGGACAGCATCAGGAGGAGAGAAAGATCTGGAACGCTAAACTGAAATGATCATTCATTTCTTCTAGTAATGCAGGCTGCTTTTGGGGAAAGGAATGCCCCAGCACCGTGGCAAGCATCAGCGGTAGCACAGAATAAAATCACGGTAGTGGCCGTGCCCGATTTTGAGGACAGCATCAGGAGGAGAGAAAGATCTGGAACGCTAAACTGAAATGATCATTCATTTCTTCTAGTAATGCAGGCTGCTTTTGGGGAAAGGAATGCCCCATCTCAGCAAGACTTTTCCATTTGAGTTTTTTCTTCCAAGACTGACCTAGAGCCAAGCAGTTGCTAGCCCCAGTTATTCACTCTGGGATTTAGCCTTTTGGGATGAATCCAAATGAAGAGACCTGTGTATGGCTGGGTGAGATTTATGATGAATAATACTATCTCAGGTTCTGCAGAAAAGAGTAGATTTTTCAAATCACAGGCATATTTTATATGAGGTGGGTATCTGAAGGTGTAGGCAAGTCAGTATTTTAAGGCAGGGAATACATGGCTTGGGTTTCAAGACTGTGGGCCAAGCTCTGTTCTCAGAGCAGTTTAAATCCTCACTAATTGCATTAATTCAGTTAGAGCTGATGTGATTTAGTGCCTGATTTCCAAACCTGGTTCCAGTTTTCACAGATGCAAGTTTTATAGCCTTTAATAAATCACGCTTACCTCTTGGTGTGGTTAATTTACAGCAAATTGCATCAATGAATTGCAAGTATAATATTCTGTATTTTCCTGTTGTCTTGAACAACAGCCTGTTTTGAGAAGCAGACATTTTTCTACTGCTGGGAGTGAAATAAGAATGTGCTACTTCCATCCCATTTCTTATAATAAAATATTTTATAACTTTCATAAGTGTTCTCAGTTATGAAAAATAGCTTAGGCTGGAGACATACAGTCATGGTTAGGGTAATAACTGGCTCCTGAGAGGAGCTCCAACACAGCATGCCGCCTCATTTAAATCCCCATCCCATTCCAGCATCCATCTCCTTGTCACCCTCTCTCTAATTGTTCCTACTGGGGCTGTTCAAAAAAATCATCATCGTCTCTGCGTGTGTGTCGTGGTGTGTGTGTGTGGTTCTGTGTCTGCTCCCACCCCCTGTTGTGTGCTGCTGCCCTCCTTGTGTCCTGGGCTTTTGGTGACGTCCTGGCCGGAGGCATGATATCCCCACTGTCCCCAAATGCTTGAACGTTATCTGTGCTACCAGGAATAGGAAATGTGCCTTCCCTTTGGATGGGGGAGGCGGCACCCGGAGCTGGTGTGTGTTTCTCTGTGCTGTCGTGGGAGGGGTGATGGGGAGCAGCCGTGGGGACCGCGGGGTCCCTGGCAGCGGTTGGTGACATGAAGTGTTGCTGTGGTGGGCAGCATGAGCCGTGTGCGTTCCCGTGGTGTGCAGATCTTCTCACCCAGCTCCCCTTTAACCAACACGTGCTTCCCTCGCTAACAAGTGACACACGGACCAGGAGGAGAGAGAGAAAACGTGAGATGCCCCAGCCGGAGGTCCTTTTTCCATGTCTCTGGAGGATGGTGGCACTTGTGTCACCTGTCCCCTGGGCACACGCCTCAGTGCAGGGTGTTTTCCCTCCAGCATTTTATAGCAAAGCCCAGTTAAAGCTGAGCAGAGCCCTGCCTTTCCCTTGAGGTTCTGGTGGAACAGTGCAATGCAGCAGCTGGTCCCCAAGCTGCTCCTGCAATGACAGGTTAGGCTGAGCGTTCAATTCAGATTAAATTTTTGGGTCAGGTACATGGCTGAGTTTACACCCATTTTTAATAATTATTTTAGTAAATAATTGGGGTTTTTTTTTCACCATGTGTGTACTGGGCCCATCACCCTTCCACAGAAATGTTGAGTTTCTGTGTTTGCTTGTGTGTCTTCACCTTTGCATGGAAGCATCTGTGGTGGCCCAAGAGATTGCCACCTTCAGCACGCTGTGGACCTTGTGTTAGGGGCTATGGCAAAGGAAGGAGCTCCTCTGCGGATCCTGAGCCCTTCCATCTAGTGAGCTGATGAGCTCTGAGCCTTGCACCGGTGGGTGCCTGGATTTGTTGTCCTCTGTTCTGCTGGGTATGGACCTCCCAGAGAAACGAACTCACCAAAGAACAGTTGCACAACCTTCATTAACCACGCTTTGTGCATGGTTGTATGCACCACCTTCTCCCAGGGTGGAAGGAATCTGCAAACCCAGCGGTGGGTTTGAAGGGAGGTGACAGCCCAGCCCTGGTGCGCTGCTCCGCTGCACCAAGGTCAGCTCCATCCTGTCGGCTTGAGTGAAGAGGATCATTAATTCAGCAGATCAGGATGTGCTCTTCTCTGAATGGAAGCGCACAGAGCTGGTTTGGGGAGCTGAGCCAAAATTTTCAGGCCTATTTTTATTCTTTTCTCCAATTGGAAAATTTTCTGATTGCCTCGATCTTGTGAACACCAAATCTGCTCTGCTGAGCAACTGTTGTTGCGGATGAGTTCTGTGCATGCAGAGGACAGGCTTTTCCAGTTGGGTGTTTTTTTTCAAGTTGGTTTTTTTTTTTTCCCAGTTAGAGCAAAATTGTGAAACTGTTGGTCTTATAATGGCTGAAAAATTCTGGCCATAAGTATCTCTGCCTTTATTTTACAGTAAGCAGCAGCCCCATTTCTTGCAGCATCTCTGCCGAGACCAGTCTGTTAGGGGAGTGCAACCACTCGCACCCTTTCCTTCCAGTCCTAAGCTGTGGTTTTGGGACAGTTTGAGTAGATTTTTCTTCTTGCTTTTATTGAAACCTATGTGGCTTGTTTTCCAACCAATTTTTATTTATTGTGGCTGGGCTGTGACCCCAACTGCCCAAACGCCGGCAGCTGCCCGCAGCCTGTTCCCAGCCCACCAGCAGCCCCTTGTCCTCCCCTTCATCCCCCTAACGAACCATCCTCCCCATCACTTGTCACAAGCGGGACCGGAGGTGGCTGTTGTGCTGACTTCCCACCCTCTGAGCACAGCGATGGCATGTGGCACTTGGGCAGTTTGACAAGGGCACGCTGGTGGCCCGGAAAGCAGTTTGCAGGAAGTCGTGGGATGAGCCCCGCTGGCCTTGACCCCGATCGCAGGGTCCCCAAGTAGATGCTGCTCTTCCCAACCACGGGCAGCGTTCTCCATCCTTCCCCCGACATCTCCAGCTCACGTCTGTCTTGGTTGACAACCTGACTGTGAATATTAACGTTGAATATTTATGGAGCAAGGTCCAGTCTCCCAGGGTCTGCGGGAAGAAAGTAGAAGTGGATGTGGAAGCTGATTCGGTGGCTTTTAGCACAAAAGCAGGATAGGCAACAAGGTGTTTGTTCATTGGGGTTGTTTTAATTATTAACCAGGATTCCCATTGTCAAGTTCTTTTTCTTCCTGAGAAAACAAGGAAACCCATGGTTCCCAGAAGGCAATGATACATGGTTTTGCCTCATTTTGGGGCAAAACCTGACATGGACAGTAGGGAATTGGATAAACCTGACCCTGAAGCACACTTCTGTTTCTCCTGGATTGCTCCCAACCTCAGCTCCCTGTTTCCTCTGCTCCATAAGCTGCTTCTTCTCAAGCCTCCCCACCATCCCAAGAGCAGCAGGGTTGAATTTTCCTATTTTCCTCCAAAACTGGAGCTTCTCTCCACTTAACACCCAGCCAAAATGCTGATCTCCAAACAGAGCAATGCCAACACCTAGGCTGCAGGTGGGGAAACAGCTCTCCTGCCAAAACACCACCCTGCTGCCCAGAAACCCTGGCAGCCGCTTGTTATTAGGAGGTTCAAAATCCGTTGGTGCAGACAAGTTTCTCTCTCTCCCTTGTTGTCCCCCTCTCTCTCTTCCCCACCGCTCTGCCTTAGGACACTGTTGGAAGTAGCAGCCCAGCTCCTCTCCATCCTCCCCAAGCTGTCCCCCAGTTGCAGTTGGTGGCACAAAGCTGGTTTGTGTTGAAAGGATGGGGCAGCGAGGGAAGTTGCCGAGCCAGAAGGCTCTGAAATCAGCTCTGCCTGAATATTAATGGTTTTTATTTTCTCCCTCTAGACTCATCCCTCCTCTGAACCAGCTGGAGCTCCTGAGGAACCTGAAGAGCAAATCAGGACTGACATTCAGGTTAGCAGCAGAGTTCAGAGTGCTTGGAAAGCACACACTTTGCAACCTTTTTCTTTTTTTTAATTTTTTTTTTCTTTTTCCTTCTTGCCTTTTGCATATGGCCAGCCTTGAAGATGTGAAGTTTTGGCAGCTGGTCCCCTATGGGTCGTTCAGCGACCTCCTCCCCATCCCTCTCCCATGCTGCACATGAATTTCTTCAGCCTAACTTGGCTCTGGAGCAATGTTACAGTGCTTGACTGAAAATGCAAAGCCATATTTTCAAAGGGTCTGATTGAGGTAGTTGTTCCCAGTTTTCCTTTGACCTTTCTGCTCTTCACCACCCTCGAGGAGACTCAGGCCCACGATGTGTTAATTCATTCTGTTCCCTCCAGCCTTCCCTTGCAGGCGAGGTTGTAGCAGTGAGAAATTTTTTGCTCAATTTACTGTGGCAAGGTAGACATGATAGCCCCAGAGGCCAGGAGTCCTGCAGCTTAACTCTGTGCTCAGGAGCAGCAATTCTTTGGGTTATTTTTTAAGCAGGCAGGGCTGCCCTGTTTGGTGACTGGGGAGTGTGCAGACCCCGGGAGGGATGGAGCGATGCTGGCCGTGCCCGTGGGCATCGTGGCTGGCTGGGGAGGGGTGGGATTGGACCTGCCCTGGGCTGTGTGTCTCTGCAGAGAGTAGAGATCTGGAGAGCCATGGGTCAGGCTGCAAACTTTAAAATGGGAGTATTTGAGATGACTGAGGCTGGGCTTCCGAGCTTGTCTGAGCAAGGAGCGGATGGTGGAGGGTTGGTTTTTTTCAGTCTCTCCGGGTTGCTGCCTTCAACCTCAGGGAGAGGGGTGGGGATCTGTGCAGATGTTGGGGTCTCAGCGGTCGCTGCTGGGTGCAGGCAGGGCCAAGGCTGGTTCATTCAGGTCTCCTCCTGCCCAGATCTTCTCCCAGCCTGGTTGTTCCCTTAGGCTGTCTGGTGTTAGGGGAGGCAGACCCTTGGTTGCTCCCCCTCTTATGGGGCTGCAGGGGTAAGGCTGCTTCAGATGAAATGCAATTTCCCCTGTGAAGAAGTTGTGAATGAGAGCAGTTGAAGGCAGAGCAGGTTTTCCTTATTGCTGAAGGGAAATGCCACCAAGATGCCTGGTCAGTGCAGGTGAGATATTTTTTTTTTTGGTGTGGCTGTAGCGTGTGTCACGCTGACCCTTTTGCAGGTGTTCATCTCACTTTGTCCTTGATGTCAGTGATTTTTCAGGGTAATCAAGTAGTTTGAGATCTCAGTAGGAAACCACGTACAAAAATGGGGTGTCCCACTCCCTCCGTGTAGCCTTTGCCAACTACTTTGGCAAAGTAGCTGCCAAAGGCTTTGGAGGCAGAAACCCCACCTGGGGTGTCAGGATGTCAGGGCAGGGGTCCATGCACCTTCCCCCCAATATCCCCCTCCCAGCACCACGCACTAGCACCGCAGTGTGAAGCCGTGCATCCAGAGATCTGACATTAGCTCTGTCCCAACAGCCAGGGAGGAAAAGAAAATGCACCAGGGTTGTGGGAGCCGTTCAAATCCTTCCCTACGTGCAGAAACAACTTGGGGTAGTGCATTTCCAAGGGAAGGGGGCCGTGCTCTGAGCCCACAGAAGTCCTCCTGTGCTCACACAAATCACACAACCATCGGGTGTCTGAGTCGTGCGTAGGCACGAGGATGGGTTGGGATAAACTCTTTGACCCTGTGCGTTGTATGTGTCTTCTCTGGGGTTGTGTGAGTCTCCAGTGATCTTCTGTCCGGGCCAGAAACTCCAGGAATTAAGTGCTCCTTTCCCTTTCTTCTGTCCACAACTTCCACTTAGTTGTATTGTTTGGTATTGTCCTTTCGTTATGTTTTAACAGTGAAGCAGCAACATCTTTTGCCACCTGCCACCATGCTAATGTACTATTGCTTCTGTTTAAAGGAAAGAGCAGCAGCCCGAACCATCGCCAAGGTCTGTATCACTGCCGACACGCCATCCCCATGCATTCCCCCTAGATTTCTATGTACGTGTGTGCGTGTGTGTACCATGTCGTGGCACCATCGAGGGAAGCATTCTAGGTATTGACGTGCTTTTTCTGTGCTGTGGCAGTCCGATGTATCTATGTGTATGCTGGACCTTAAATCAGATCTTCCTTCCAGTCTGCCCCGGGCTGTAGCTGCCAGGATAGCGAGGCTGTGGGGGCTGGAGAGAGCGGTGGGCAGCACGGGCAGAGCTGGCAGACAGCTGGGGTGACAGCAGGGCTTTGGTTTATGCTGCTTTTTGATTTTCTTTCATTGCTGGAGTCGTAGCTGAAAGAGTATAACTCAGGCGCAGGGGGTGTCAATGGGCAGGTGATGCTTTGCCCATGTCTCCATCACCCAACGCCACGCCAGGCGGAGGTGACATGGGAACACGAAGCCATCACCGTGCCACCGAGTTAGCGACTTCTCCCGAGCTCCTCTCGCTGCAGGGTGCTGCTGCTCCGTGGGACACGGGAGGGCTCTCTGACACCGCACGACGTTGCATGGCAGAGACACCCCATCTCCACCCTGCTCCCCTTGACCTCCCGAGCTCTGGATGAAGCCCCATCCCTGCTCCGTCTTCCCTCCACGCCTCCAGCCCACCGTGCAGAGCGTGCTCGGTGGCGAGCACCTTCCAAGGCCAGCCCGAAATCTCACCTACGGGAGAGCTTTTCTCTGTTCACACATCCCAGGGAAAGAACAGGGCTGGTATTTGGGATACTTTTAGGATACTTCTCATCCCCTTAGAAATATTTATTTCTGGGCTTTTTTTTTTCTATATTTTCCTAGTTCTTTTAAGAAGTAATTCTGGGACTGAATCTCTTTTTTTTTTTTTTTTTTTTTTTTTAATGGGAGGCAAGATGCAGAACTGATGCTCTGTGGAGATCATCTGCTTGGCTTTCAGATCTTCCATCTCATATCTCAAAACATAGCTTACAGCCTAAATATTGTAAACACTGAATATGTTGTTCAGATTGTAAACACTGAGTATGTTTTTCAGCTGTATAACGAGAGCCTGGCATTTCACAGATGTAACTTTCTGCTGTGCCTTTTAGCTTATAAGAGACCAGAAACTAATTTTTCCCTGGCATAAAATCCAACCAAAGATATCTGGCATAGATATGCTGCTGACTAAATGGAGGAAAATTTAATCTTTCCTTCCTTTCCCCCTGCCCCACTCTTTTTTTCTGTCTTTTATTTGAGCTTTTCTTTGCAAGCAGAACCTCCATAGCACTCCATCCTCTTTCCTGACAAATAAACCAAATCTCCAAGATCATGTTTCAACTATCCAGATCTTTCTTTTTTTCCTATTTGGGGTCTCAGCCTGCGTAGCTAGAGCAGAGGCAGCCTCCATCCAGCTTTATCAAAGCAGGGAGCGTTACGTGGGAAGGGCTCTCTGGGAGCAGAGCAAGGCTGAAATCTTGCCCACCCGCCCATGGCATCGGGAGGGTCAGCACTTCATCCCAGGAGCCTGCTCTGTCTCAGCCAGCAACATGCTTTGGATGTGCAGTGAGACAAAATCTCTCTTCAACTCCATCAGCTCCATAGCCAAGGAAATCCGAGGACTGATGGTCCCACTTAGGGTCACACCAGCCAGCATCCCTGCAATGGTAGGCACGAGTCTTATTTCTGAGGCACTAGTCTTATTCTTATTTTTGAATCTCAGTCCTGTCTTGCAGGCTTCATTTTCACCAGTTAAAATACTAGGTTTGATGTAATATTTCTTCATAGAGATTGTAGGTTTTTCCCTGTTCATTTTCTCCGTTGCTTTCTTAATCTTATGTCACAGAAAGAAGTAAAAATAGCCTTTCCTTGACCTTTTTCAGAGTATTTTTTACTATATATAGCTCCTTCATCAGGATCATTTCCAAATGCTGCTTTCCTGCTCCTGTAGCGCACCTGTCTCTTGTGACACTGATGGGTTTTGTTGCCCTCCGTTGTGAGATGCTCAACCTGAGCCCAGGAGCGCTTGAGCTGAGGGACTGCAGCTGCCGTGTTGCTGGCATTAGAGCATTTTCCGTGTTGTTTAGCTCAGCTGTCATGGCAGAACCAAAGCTCCTGCCTGCTGTCTTTTGTTAGGGCAATATCAATTCTACCTGCTCGCACTGCCCTTTTCCGTCTGATAATGTCTCAGACCTTGGGAAGGAATTTTGCACAGTAGCCCCTATATTCAGGGCCCCCCAAATCACCTATTCTCTCAGAGTTTCTGCATATTTTACATTCACATCCCAAATCTACCTTCACATCCCAAATCTTCCACCCACTTTAATTTCCCACAGCCTCCCGGTGATGCTCAGTGTGTCATCCTGCCCTTAGACAACAAACCTCGTCCTGTTTCTCAGCCCACCTGACAGTTAATCATCCAGCCCGGTCTGTCGCTGGTGATTGTTTCACTTGGGAAACTCCTCAGGATGAGTCGTGACTCATAGCAGACCCCAGCTCCACACTTGTACCACTTCGGCTGGTGAAGGCTTTGCCACTTTCCATTTCCATCGATGTGAGGAAACATGCAATCTCTCATCTGGAGACAGCTTGACCTTCCTCCTGTTGCAGTTATGTGTAGGGAGTGGCTGATTTCCTGCATCCCTCTTCCCATAACTGATATACCCCAAAGTCCTTACAGAACAGGAACAGCTTTTGCACTATTTTGCATCTTAATGTATTTAAAGTTAGAGAAGGGATGCTGGCACGGCTCGTGGGAAGGCGCTGTACAAGACAAACGTTGCCTTGCAAGCTCAGGGAGCATCCCAAAGGCTGAGCTGATTTCTGCTGCGATGGCACTCAGAGAGCCGCTGCCCTGGTGGGAGGATGGGGGGAGGCAATGGGGTTAACGTGGGGGAGGATTGGGGTCACCTGGAATTACTCAGGGGGCTTTCGATTTGGTCTCGGCATAAAATGGGGCAGCTGATCTGAGAGACAGGTAACGTCCTTTATCACTTCTGTTGTTTTTCACTGCAAGCTTGGCTGCATCCCTCTATGGCCGAGTGTGGGGAAGCTGGGTGCTGACCTGCTCGGGGGGGACAGGAGCTCACCTTTCCCGTGACATGGAGCCCAGGCTGTGATGAGCAGACAAGATGCTGGCCTTTTTCTCCATGCTATGTACCTCTTCCTCCTTTTTATTTTCCTCCCTTTTTAAAAAACTCCATACAGAGCCTCCTCTGTTGCCCATCCCTTTGGGTGCTGTGTCCATCCCCCATCTGCCTTGGCCAGGAGAGGTGGTCCCTGCCCTTCCCCAGGCTGCTGCAGGAGTGGTTAGCATCAATCTCGCCTCCGAGACCGCGCTGCCCTGGCGCAGGGTCCAGCTGCGAGTCCTCTCTGCCTCCTAAGCCCAGGGAAGGAGGGCTGGGCTGTGCTGGGGCTTTTCTCACCACTCCCCCTGCAGAAAGCCAGCAAATCCGAGTGGTAACAGGGTTTGATTACTCCTGTGTTAATCAGGCTGGAAATTCACTGTGGCTTCTCATCTCTGTTTATTTTGTCTTCTGATTGTAATGTCAAAAAGCCAAATGTATGGTTAGCCAGGACTACGGAGGCTCCCGTGTGAAACGTGTGCTTTAGATGCTCTTCAACACCTGATTTGATCAACATCTGAAGGCATCCGTGACCACATTTCTTCCTCTTGTATTTTCTAGAATACAATTGGGTGAAAAGCTAAAAATTAATGAACTAAATAGTTCTAATAGTACATTGGTATTAGAGAAAAAGAAACAGAAGGATTCCAGGGAACTGGGAAGCTAAAACTCTCAGATTACTTTGTCCAGCATGAGTTCAGTCCTGCAGGTCATGAGAGGAACCTCTTTGGAAGGTTGTCCTCAGCTGTGCTTTGTCCTTGACCCCAAGAACTCCGCAAGACCTTGGCCATTATGTTGAGTGGATGCTGGACCGGGCAGCCTTGTAACGTGTGTGTATATCTGTGCGTATATCGATATATCAGTGTATGTATGTGTCTGTCTGAGATACACACAACATGAATAGCTCTGTTCAGGGGTGTGATTAAGGCTTTTGTACGCACTGGAGGATGCCTTTGGTTGACTCAGTGGGTCCCTGCTCATCCAGCCCAGGGTGTCCAAGGTGTCACCAACCGCTACTGCCCAGGGAAACCCACGGCAATCGCAGCAGTCCGATGGGCCGTGTTAGCCTGGGTTGGTGTTCGACCTTCTAACCGATTGAACTGGTGACAGAGACTCATGCTGGGACAGACAGTAATCTGGAAATAATCAGTTGCCTTTAGGGGAGCGGATTATTTGCACAGGAGGGACCGCATCTTTCTGTAGGGACTGCAGAGGAGACTAAGAGGAGAGTAATCCCTGTGCCTCCCCGAGGCTCTGCATGCTGGATATCCCACTCCCACGCCGTGATGCTCAGCCCCCAGCTCCAGAACAGCCCCAGTAGCACCACTGGTCCCCGGGGCTCCCTGGAGATGCGGGGACCCATTGCAGGTGCCCAAGGAACCCCCAGGATGGAGAGGGTGGTGTCGGCTGAGCTTGCACGGGATGCCGCGGAGCAGAAAGAATTCCTGCAAATTCCTTCTGTGCGTGTCCGTGAGCTCCTCCGATTGCTGAGTTCAAGTGTAAAACCAGATTGGGGGGTTTTTATGCCCTTCAGCCTTTTCGCTCTGTCCATGAACTCAGCAAGTGATGCTTTCTGGTGGCCAGGTGGGATGATGGGGGCTACACCATTTCCCTTCCGCAGGAAGAGGGCTGCTCCATGGCGTGGAGGACCCTGGTCGTGGTGGCGATCTCCTGGCAGGGCAGTGCCTGAGCAGTGATTTGAGATGGGCTCACGGAAGCTGTGGTGGTGCCACAGCAAAGCCCGTTGCTCCCCAGAAGTGGTAGGGCCCATCTGAAAAAAGAGTTGCAAAAAACAGACGTTCAAAACCCTTCCCAAGACAGACTGTACCATACCCTGTTTTTATTTTTTTTTAAATTTTTTTTTTAAGTGCCAGGCTTAATATAATGCTGTATCCTGTATGAGAAGTGCAAATAATTCCCAGGTTAACTAACTCTCTTGGTGAGGATTTTTTTGGAGAAAAAAAAAAAAAAAGAAATTTGAACCTTTCGGCTGTTGTTGGGCAAAACAAGTAAAGTTTTGGCTCTCTATGGCTTAGACGGTTAAACAAAATGTCTTTTTTATCTGTTCAGAGGAAGAAGACAGCACTTTTGTTTCCAATACAGATGAAAAAAAATCTTCCTGCAGGACTCAGTCAATTATAGATGAGCTGACGCTACCAATTCAATGCAGAATGCGTCATTTCTAATAATGACATTTGTCGACCTCAGTGAGACAAATTTCAGAAACGCTCTTGATTTTTTTAAATTTTTTTTCCACCTAACGCTCAAACAGGAAAATCCTGTCATGAACCCAGCCCTCAAAACACCTGTCTTTTAAACCTAGAGTCAGTAATCAAAAGTTTCCTGTCTGGCATTTGCTTCCAGGTCTAATTTTTACTCTCCCCTCATTTCCAGTAAAAGCAAACCGTGCAGAGAGTCACTATGCGGATGCTGCTCAGGAAACTCTAGGTACCACGGGAAATGCGTCGCACGGAACTAATCAAAAGCTGCACGGCTCATTCTCCCTCTACCCTGCTACCACCCGTTCTGATCACTTCTCTGCTTAATAGAGGTACTAGATGAGTAAAAAAAAAAGGTGAAAGAGCCTCCCCATTGCCCGCTCAGAAGTCAGAGGCTGCCTTGTCTGCTAATCTTGCAGCATATGTGATACAAAGAGATGAGGATGGGGAATTTGGTCTGGGCTAGCAAGCCAGTGTCTGCTCAGCAATGAAGGAGGCCAGGAATTGAAGTTTAAAAAATGATGGAAAATTAAAAAAGAAAATTAAATTTTTTTTTTAATTCTTTTAAAAAGACCCCTTCCTCCCTTTTGCTCCATCCTTCCTCAAGGTCCAGGGAATCCTTGCAAATTGAATTGTGCTGTACAGCAATATCAAGTTAGTAGCATGAGAAATACCAGCTTCCTACCTCTGCTCAATCACCGTTCCTTTGGCTCTCTGAACACCACAAATTGACCTTTCCTAGTCTGGTGGCCTTTGGAAGCCACGGCTTGCCTATCTAGCACCTCTACTACGCAGCTAGAGAAGGACTAATCTCAGCCTGTCCCACCAGACGCAGGGATTCCGGGTTCCCCTTAGCCTTGGCATCGTGAATGGTTCTGTTTCTACATCCCATGGGGAACAGATAGCTAGAGCAGAGGGTTTTGTATGAGCAGTGTTTGAATCTCTTTCATCAAGCTGACAATTGTTAGGCGGCTGCAGAGAATTCCCAAGGAGCATCCCTTACTGCACCCAAAGGGTACCCAGATGCACAGATCTTTGACTTATGCCTAAATACATCTACTTCCACGCCTGCACTGGAAGAGTCTCTTCCACCGCCCCAGACACTGCTTCTCAGCAGCAAACATGCACCTTCTTGGATTTCCAACGCCCCGAGTTTGCATGCGGTGAATGCTGGCAGTGACCCCCCAGCTCCCCCCCGCAGCCAGGCAGGAGGACAGCCCAGGAGTGGCAGCAGGGCACCGAGTGATGCCGCATGTTTGTGGAGTCGGATTTTTGCATGCTCTTTTTTGGAGTCCGTTTGAATTCTCAAAATCACCAGTCTCTGTCTCCCTCAGAAAGCCACCAAACTACAGTTTTAAAAGTATATGTATCTCTGATTTTCTCCATTAATTGTTCCAACTTGTATCTTTTATTTTCTTGCTATTTTTCTCCCTGCTGGCTATTTTATTACCTGTCAGACCAGAGGCTAAGACTCATGCCTGAGGTTTGTGTGTACCAGAAGCTCAGAAGTAGGGTGGTAAATCCCATCTCTGCATGGGTAACCAGAGGAAAGGGGCATGATCGAGGTTTCAAAATAAGCAGTTCTCCATGGTAGGAAATCCCCTGTACCTGGATAAGTAGCCTGAATCTTTGAGTTAGCCTCCTGCTGTGTGTTTTGATAGTACTGTGGCCTTCCTTGAAGTTTATCTTTGAAAGAACTGGTTTAAATATTGGGTGATCATCAGTTCTACAGACAGCAGTTCAATACATTTCCAAATGGCAAAGATTCAGAATAGTCTAAGCTGAAAAAAACACCATTACTTTTGTAGAGAAAGGCTCCTTTCAGTTGCTCAATGTTCAGGTTGTTTTTGACAGGGATGAAAACAAGCAGTGATATTTGTAATGCTGTCCTCTCACCTGTCCGTGTCCAGTTCTGTTTTCTGGAAAATCAGCCACTCTGATCTTAATGTCTCCTTTGCACATCTTCCTAGGCATGAATTTTTAATTGGTAAAGCCAGTATAATTTTTTTTCTGTTTTCTACTGAATTCCTTCCCACTGTGGTCCTCATTTTGTCTCCTCCATCTTGAGTATTACAAGGGAAAGGGAGGGTGAAACAAATTATTATCTCAAGATCTTCTTAGTCAATTGGAGACCCTGAGAAGGAGGATTACAGACCGTGGTTCTTCCAGTCAAAAAGGAGTCTTGAACTTTGGAGTAGCTGCAGGGGCATCCTTGTTACCTGCATCCATCCTGACTGTAGTGTTATACTCACCGTGCTTTTGTAAAACTCTAGGTTAACTGTGAAGGGACATAAAAATAATTTAACTTATTTTCCTGGGCCCTTGGGCTGCCTGCCTGCAGTCCCCCACTGCACAGACTCCTAGGGGCAGATGCCAGCACTTTGATGCGTCTAAGGCTGAGTGCTAAAAGCCTTCATGTAGGATGCACATGATGAAATAACAGTCAGTGATGAGGCAATCACAAAAAACTCAATGTAGGTAAATGAATAGAAAACTCCTTAGGCAGCGTAGTTTCTTAATGTACTAAACCAATGATCTCTAGTCAATAAATGCAGTAGTGGATGTATTTTTAGACAGTAATGTAACTATACCAAGCCAGTTTATCAGGTCTATTCTGCTTTGTAAGAGACTTCCCTGGCATCTGCTCAGAGAGATGGAGGCACCACAGAGACCTGGCAGTGGGAAGCAACAGCACAGATCAGCGAAGGAAAGGTGTTTGCAGAGCCCTCGACTGGCCTGAGCGTGGGTGTAGCGTGTTTCTCAAAGTCTCGTTTAGGAATAATGAGCCAGCTCGAAGACGCAACCTGGCTGGTTTGCATTGCTCCTGAAATACAAACCAGCCGAGCTGGCACACAGCAAGATGTTGCTGGAAGATGCACGGTGTGTGTGATGTGGGGTTTGACAGCGCCCAGCATCAGTTTGGGAAAAAACCCCTGTGAGTTAGGAAGGGTGATGGTGTAACAGCAACGCTGCAGGATACCAAGGTGTGTGTCTGGGTCCAGTGTCCCTTCTCTCACCCCAGGCCAGGCTTGCGCGGTGGCTGCGGGATGGTGCAGCTCTGGTCTTTCCCGTTAGGATTTCAGTGACTCCCTTCAGTGCCAGTCTAACAGCGACAAGGAAAAGAGGGATTACTCACCATAACACAGACCATTGGTTGACCTTTTGTTTTCCTTATGCCCAGGTTGCTCTGCGTCTAGAAACTCCATTCTCCGGGCTGAGCTCACCTGTGCAGTGGCTTCTCTGAAACCACTGGGGGCAAACCAGGCTTGAGCCTGCTCCTCTCCTGGTTTCTGCTCTAGTCATGGCAAGTGTTGCACACACAGATTATTTTCCCTTTCCTTCATGTCTCCAGGAACTGGTTTCTGCCTCTTATTTACACTTGTGACCAGACTGGAGCCAGACTTATTCACTCCTGCCTGGTTTTAACAAGCAGTTCTCATGTGCCATGAGCTCAGCACAAACTCTGGATTAGAAACCAGCCCAGTTTCCCAGCAGGAGATAACCTCTTTCTCCTGGCCATAGCTTTTCAGAAGAATGAGCACTGTTACTAGTTGAGTTTGTCTGCAGAGATGGACCTGAGTCCCTGTTAGTCTCGCTCAGCCTGGCTGATGTCTGGTCCTACAGAATGAGAGGAGGAAAGGAACCAATTGCTCAAGCGTAATTTAAAATCAATGACAGGAAGTTAGAGGTAATACTTTTTATTGATTCAAAATTACTGCTAATGTAATGAGTCCACATTTTTCAGAAGTGCTGATTTAATACGACAGAGGGCTGTGGAATGAACCCCAAACCTGAGGGTTACAAACAGGAGCTCTTTAAACCCCCAGCATCCTAGGGGGGCTGATGGCAGCTCATTTGAAGGTTAGTTCTAGTGTGCTTTGCTGCTGAGTGCTGGGCTCTTGGACCTAAATGAACCTAGATGCAAAGCCCACTAATGCAGCGAGCACCTTTCTCTCAGCTGTGGGACCATGGATCAGTCTTTACGTGTTTGTCTAGTGTGGGCTCTTGCTTTTTGACTAGCAGTAGAGCAAGTCAACTCAGTTTCTATCCTTTGTTAAATTCAAGTCAGAAGCTGAAAGTTTTGTAAACCTTCCCCAAAGTCAGCCTGGAAACATTATAGGGTTTTTTTGCTATCAAATATGTTTTTAATAGGTGCCAACTGAAAGTGGTTATGAAGACCTAGGAACTAAAGCATGCCCTATTGTGCTATGTCCTATAATATCCCTGGAGGGGATACGTGTAGATGGGGTGCTTAAGGACATGGCTTAGGGAGTTAGGTGGTGTTGGGTTGATGGTTGGACTTGATGATCCTTGAGGTCTTTTCTAACCTTAATGATTCTATGATTTGTCTCTGGTTGCGAAGCTGTAGTTTTCTTTCGCAGGGCACCCACCCCGTGCTCGTGCCGCTCTTACCTATCACGATTGCAAGCTTCGGTTCATATGTCGTGTGTGGCTGGATCCACGTGTGCTTTCCTCACTTTCATGTCACCGACACGTACACTTCCCACTGAACTGAGCCTCATCTGCCATCTGCTCGAGTGCCATCTAAATACCACCTCTCCAAGACACTGCGTCACTCTGCATGACTTTCTGCTTGAATGAGAACATGATCTTGGATTAGCTTGACAGCACATATCTCTCTATACGTCTGTATTTCTTTTCTACTCCTTCCCGCAGACCCCAACAGCAGGGATTGTATGTGCATGTGCTTCCAGGTGTCATATCCAATGAGACAATTGCATGGCAGAAGGAAAAATTCAATTAATTGTTCATCTTCTCTCATGTCTATGTTAAAATAAAGAAGCTACATCGTGTTGGGTTTTTTTTCTGAGTAGAGAGTACTCAGGAGCAAAACCCACCCAGATCTTAATTGCTCATCAGATTTCTACGAGATTTTTTGATGTGTAAAAGTGTTGTCCCTCATGCTATCAGGCTTGAAACTCTTCGCTCGTGTTCCTCGCTGAGTTCAACGCTTTCTTTTTTGCCTTTCGTGATTCTTGCAAACGTTTGCAGCACATGTGTTGTGGGAATGGAAAAGGGGCCCCAAAGAAAAGCTTCTGCTTTATACTCAGCGATAGGCAGCTGGTTTCACACCGAGATCGGGGATGGGAGCAGCTCTGCAGAGGATGAGGCACAAAGAGGTGGCTTTGAATTCTGAATATTGGTGTGTTGATGATTCCAATTGGCCTATTTAGGATCAAATGACGAATAAAATTTCAATCTGGTTTCTAATCCAAGAAACACAGAATGAAAATTGCTT